GGGGGTTAAAAAAGGAGGTCTGGGAGGGGTGTGCCCAGAGGGTTTTTTGGAGGGCTATATGTGCTGGTTATAAAAATATATATGTTGGTGGGCTAAATCGAAAAGACGGGAAACTGGAACCGAGCCAAATAATTATTGAACACAATTATTGGGAACAACAGGTCAGCAATTGTAATGTATTTTTCCGGTGCATCACCTTAATTATTTATTATGTCGCGACAATTGGTATGCAATTATTTATTTATATTATACACAAACCGGACAGTACTTTCTTAGCTAGGGTTTGGTTTTCAACATCTCTTATTTTATGTTTTACAATAGTTTTTTATACAAATATAATGAGTACTCGGATATCAAAGTCCGCTCACAAACCGTTACCACAATTGATAACATATTTATCAAAATCTCCGATAATTTCAGTCAAAAATCGGCTAAAATTGATGTCATTTGTAGAGGTGTTGTGCGGACCCGAAATCGGTTACTATTGCTATGACTTATTCCCAATGAATAGCTATGAGTTGTATCAATACATATACATCTCTGGCCTTAATTATATTTTAATTTTAAATTTATTTTCAAATTATTTATTTTCCAATTAAATTAATGTAAAGTTATGTTTAATAAAAATATTAATAGTTATTACTAGTGAGTGAATTAATTGAATTTATATGCAATATGATTGTGCATTATCGAGATGAGAATGAACCAAGTAAATATTAATTGACCAAAAATGCGGAAATTACATCTTAAGGTCCGTATATACAGAATAGATATATGCGACCAATTGTTTGCAACATTAAATTTAATCAATAGTTTAATACTCATCGGAGAAAAAGACTACTATTACTCGACATTTGTTGACTGTTGAGAAAATAATGAAAATATGTCTCAAAATTATCTCAATTAAAATTAATTATTTTCATTTAATTATTTTTATTTGTAATTATAATAATTATTCTAATGCAATATCCATATATTTTAATATTAACAGTTTATACGTGATAATATTACATTGATTATTAAGATACTTTGCAAAAGTGCTTTGGAAAGTTAGCAGTCACTTATAATGACTATACTGTTTAATAATAATGATTACTAATAATGACCATAGTAAATGTTTATTGCAGACGTCAGATAATAGTATTTTAGCCAATATTTAAAAGTCAGATCACATTTAAATTCCGAGTTGTATTTAACTGTTCAATAATTAATACAACAAGTGATGGCATTAATACAAATATTATCACTGTTTGTAACAGCGGTTACCACAAAATACCTGTGGTATTTGATAGCGACTATTTTGACTGTTGTGTTGATGTATTACTATTTGTGAGTATTTTGTATTTAGTATCATATGGCAATATGATTATTATATTTAATTATGCTAACAATAAACAATTATAGCAAATGGTATCGTATATTAAATTACTGGTCGAACCGCAATATTTCGGGTCCAAAACCCGTACCATATTTTGGCAATATTTTAAGGTATATATTAGTGATGCCAGGAATGGGGCAAAAAAGCGGGGGAAAGAAAAATTAAGGAATGTTTAGATACATTCAATATTTTGTATTAGAAATTTATTGAAAAATCAAATTGTTTAACGGATATTAATAATATTTTTGAGATTCATTAACAAAATCACTATTTATTAAAGTAGACAGAAGATAAATGCACACAAATACAACAGTAACATACAATAGGGGGTGGGTAACATAGTTTGTGGACGGGGCTGACGGCTAGTTGAATATTAATTTAATCATTTATTGTGAATAATATTGTTAATATTGGATTTTTATATTATTTAATGCACAGAGTCTGAGATAAGCAATTAATAAATCATCACTTAATCGATTGGTCGTATCATTCTTTCGGGCTTTCATTAAGGAAAACAATTGTTCACAATTATAAGTAGTTCCAAAGTATGTTATTAGCGACAATGCATTGTTGACTAATTTTGGTAAACATTTTGGTAAGCATTAAAATCCAATGATACCGTCGTTGTTATTAAATAATTCAGTAAAAAATTCATTATTTTAAATTAATTGTAACTATAAATTCACTATAAATTTAAGACATTTTCCACACAAAAAGATTAAAACAAACAATTAATACAACAATTAAATCAATTTTAAGAAAAAACGTGTTTTATCTTCCATTCAAACACCAAAATGTGACAAAAATTATGACAAAAATCATTTAATATGTGATTAATAATCACTTGTTACCAATTGAAAAAATGGTTTAATGTAAAGTCTATTAAAATATTGAATCAAACATTATTTGTAATGAAAGTATGTCTTAAAGTTTTATGATTAGAAATTAGATGTCTCATATATTGTTTGTAATGCCACCCTAACACTTGCACTCTAATATCCTGGGATACAACTTAAGCCCCACTACTATATATCAATGCAGAGACGTTTAGTGGAGTTGCAGTGATATCGAAAATATGGCAAAACGTTTGGGTTATTATAATTTTGATTATCATTTATATCTAATTATAAAGTTTTGTTAACTAATACTACGAATCGTATAGTGTGTATGATTTTGGTAAACCTGTGCTAAGAGTGTCGGATCCGGTGCTCATCAAACAGATTCTGGTGAAAGACTTTCACAAATTCCGGAACCGAATCGCGAAACCATCGACGAGTCCAGTCCTGTCGGTCACGATGGCCAGCGCTAGGGATGGCCAATGGAAACGGATCCGAGCCATAGCCAGTCCCGCATTCACTTCAGCCAAACTCAAACACATGTATCCACTCGTCAACGAGTGTTGCCGCGACTTCTTGGCCGCACTCCACAGACACGTGTCCACCAGTGGTCGGATTGAAGTGGAGTTAAAGCATTTGATGAGCGACTATACTATAGATGTGATCGCGAGCGTAGCCTTTGCCACTAAAACTAACCCCTACTCTGACCCCAACAACCCATTCATCACTAAAGCCAAAGCCATGTTATCAAAAAATCCGATGCAAATATTATTAATTAGAATTTTGCCCACTTTTGCCATCAAAAGCCGGCTCTGGAAAGCAATGGTAAGCGATCTCTCGTCTAACGTCATGTTTTTCATAGAAATTGTCCGACGATTGATGTCTGAGCGCAAGAAATCGGGTAAAAAACACAACGATTTTTTGCAAATACTTATGGATGTGGAGAGAGAGGACCACAACAACAAGACTACCGGCGCCGCCGACTCTGTGGCCGGCGATGCGATGTCTGGACATCACGTGAACGAAGGCGTCGACGAACTGATGAAGGCGTCGACGAACTGATGGCAGAGAAACGGGCGTTGAGTGGAGTCGAAGAAAACAAGTTTAACGAAAACGAGATCCTCGCCCAGTGTTATGTCTTTTTCAACGCCGGCTTTGAGACCACGGCTACCGCTCTGTCGTACTGTACGTACGAATTGGCAGTCAATCCTCACATTCAGGACCAGTTGGTGGCGGAGACCAGAGAGGCGTTCAGTGAAAACACGACAGACATCGACTACGAAACCCTTTGCCGACTCCCACTCCTCGACGCTGTCGTATCGGAAACTCTTCGCAAATATCCGCCGCTTATAAACTTTGGCAGAGAAGCCATGGATGACGTGGTGTTGACCAGAGATAGCGACGGATCAATGTTTAAGATTGAGAAGGGAATGAATGTGTCGATACCGGTGTATGCCCTACACCACGACCCGGACTACTATCCCGATCCGTTTGCCTTCAAACCCGACCGCTTTTTGGCACAAAATGGACGTAATATCAAACCCTATACATACCTCCCATTCGGCGCCGGACCCCGTAATTGCATTGGCACGCGGTTTGCATTGCTAGTGATCAAACTAGCCCTGGTCAAAATTTTGAAACAATTCCGGTTCTATGCGGTGCCCGACACTGATATACCAGTGATTTTCAATGTAGGCGTTGGTGTAAATCAGTTAAATGCCAAACGGCTTGTTGTGGGCGTTGAGAAACGTTAACTTCATTAACGGAATTGTTTTTATTTATAATTTTAGTTCATGTCATTTAATTTGAGCAAATATGCCGTTTATTATTGTTCATATAGTTAGTATTAGTTAAAATTGAATTTATTATTTGAACAAAAACCTCATTATTATATTTAATTCATGTCAATGTTAATCATGAGTACAATTATAACTAATTTTCTTACTTATTATAACTTCTATTCAAGATGTCGACAATTTATTACTTTTACACAACAAAAATTAAAAAATAATAAAACCAAATTCCAGTTATTTAGAAAAGCTATACATTTAAATGCAATCAACGGTTAAATACACCTGATAATGTTGCTCCACGCATGAAGTTGCTGTAAATATCATTATCTAGGTTATACGTGGCTTAAGTATCATTCTAATACTGAAATCCTTGAAAATGCCGAAACTTGCATAGAGTAATGACTATATATGATTATTAATTTTATTGTCATTAGTCATTACTCTATGCAAGTTTCGGCATTTTCAAGGATTTCAGTATTAGAATGATACTTAAGCCGCCTGTAATCTAGGTCATTAAAACTCTCTGTTTTGGACACCTCTGCAAAGTGTGTTACAGCGTATTCAAAGCAAATTTCCTCAACTTTGGAATAATATTAACTGTCTATTAATTGTTTTATAATGTACATCTACAATGTATATAATATATCATTAATAATACAATTGTTATTTAAATTTTATTATTATATAATGACGCGTTTCATACATGTATTTTACATTATATCATTTTGGTTTAAAGTTTTGAAAACATATTTAACCATGACAACTATTATTATTATCATTAGATGAAACAAAGTTTCTTTATAAAAGATAGTACATGAAACATATTTATTAGATGTTATATTACATTGATTAAGGATTTTACAATGAATTTCCAGAAAATTTATGATGTTTTTCAATTATTTAAATCCAGTTTTGTTAATATATTTAACAAAATAATCCTGTTCTTGATATTTATATGTTTTGTAATAAAAACAAAAATTCAACAATTGATACAATTGTTACAATTCATTCATTTACTCATAAGTAGATTTAATAATGACATTAAGTTTGTTTCATATCTTAAACTAATAGCCAAATTGTTGAGCTTTTGTGTCCTATTCTATGGGGCCATAGAATTGACAACAGATTACTTCAGTTATCCCAACGTCTATAGCGTTAACGTAAAGCCGAGCAATGAATTGCTTTTACCAGAGATTACTATCTGTACGGAAAGGGATGTGTTTTTTGACAAAACAAAGATTAATAAAGAGTTTGGGATAAGCCATGAATACGAGTCGTGGAAACAAAAGGCAAAAATCATGGTTAAAAATATGATTAAAAAGGTATGCAATTCTGAGAGTTCAGGTTTTGCTTATCCTTATGTTTGCAAATATCCATCATTTGTTGAAAATTATTATTTGAATCATTTTTATGACAAATATTTGCNGATATTTTTTGTGATGCATACAATTGATGTAAGTCTCGATGCGCGCGCTATCTATGTATTGAATCTCGCAACAGCTGAAATGTGTTGTCCACAAGTCCATACAGGGAAGTCGTGAAATAGTGTGAGAAATGGGTAACTGATATGTGGCGGCGCTAGTGTTTTTGCGAAATGCACTGAAATGTTATAGGTTTAAAAAGTTAAACGTTTGATATCGTGGGCGTTTTTGAAAAGTGACCTTTCTTTGAATATTCACTGCTCGGACACCAGATATGCAAATGAAGTTTTGATTAATCCAAAACCTACTCAAATGTTTGGTTGAGGAATAGCTGGAATTTTTTAGCACTGACTTTAATACCTGATTTTAGCCATAAGTTTTAAACTCACTGGGATCGATATATCCCATGGATAGAATTCTTTGGTTAAACGTATTAGATTTTATTTTAATCTCGGTAAATATAAGAGCATTTTATATATTGCATGTGAATGTGTTTATATAAAGTACACTAAATCTTTACGTATTGTCAACACAATAATAAATATAGTGTTTTATTGTGTAAATCTTTTTATTCAATTTATTTGTGTTGGTGATTTTATTTTGTTGTTGCATACCTTATTTTATTTATGTTGTTACCAAGTTATTAATGCGTATATTTATTATATTCTTAGTCTCTATTGAGTAGTTAATTGAATTTGAAATGCACAAAAACTAACTACGTTGAATAAATTTACACAGCCATTCAATTTTCAATACAAGTTTAAGTTCAATAACAGAAAACAAAATAAATAAAATTTTCCTTCAATAGAATTATTGTATTTCACATAAAATGAATATTTTTATACAAAAAATTGCATTATAAGTATTGTATTAACATAAGATAACATAAGTATTGCAGTTCTATAAAATCTCTCTCTCTCTCTCTCTCTCTCTCTCTCGTTCAATAGACAGACACATATATAATGTATAATTGTGTTAAATGTTTAAAACTAATATCAAATACAATCTAGATTTTTGTAGCAAAAATTTTCCACTCTCTAAAACCTAAATGACAGGAATGATAGCGAAATCATTTCATACATATCACTGCCTCTAAGTTCTGATATACCGTTAAATACATTGTATTATTCTGTGTTCAACAGAATATTCTGTGTCAACAATCAATGCGTAAACATTTTAAATGTTTAATTCGCTGAATAAATTACTTTGTGAATAGTTTTGAATGCTTTTGCGATTAGTGTTGCAATGTTCTAATACAATTTTTGTTAACTAGATGTTAACTTTATATTGAATTTAAATGTTATCGTATTTACAATTTGGAGCTTAGAACTTAACAATAAGAATAATAAATTATTGATTTAACAAAACAAAACAAAACAAAATTTAATTAGTATTTATGTATTTGTTTTCACTATATGAAAAATTAAAGTCACATGAACCGAAATATATACGAAATATAAGATAACATAATAATTGAGTTTATCAATAATATTTTAATTATTTTATCATAAGGTCTTACACCCTTATTACATATTGACTGATAATTAGAAAATACATTTCTGCGGCTTGTTTCATAAAGAAACTTAAGTTCATTTTTCTAACTTACGCATGATTTTGCGTTTCATAAAGAAGTGCAAGAGAAGTTTGTAAGTTAAGTTTATGTTAACGTAAGTCTAAAAGCAAAGAGTTAAGTAGCCCTCAGGTTATATTTGCGTTTCATTAAACTTAATTCCTAATTTGTGCGTTGAATGTACGCCAACCCTTTCCTTCACTCGACCCTCACTTTGCATATGCTTTGTATGCATAGAAAGGAGAACGCGTGTGTGGAGTGTGTGTAAAGTTTATGTAGAGTTTAAGTTTATGTTTATGTTTAAGTTTATGTAGCTCACTTTATGTAGAATGAGTGGGCACTTCACTGCAATACCCTCTGTGATGTCCAGTGTGTAAAAACTGGTTTTGAACATTAAGTTTAAGTTAAGCCCAAGTTTTTTTTCGAGAAACGCAATTTAACTGAAGTTAAGTTCAAACTTAAACTTAACTTAAGTCAAACTTAAGTTAGGTGATGTACGTGAAACAAGCCGCTGATATTTAATTTATTATTAGACAATTATAACTATTTAATCATAAATATATTTTACGTTTGATTCTAGATATTGGTGTAACTCATACCAAATATAATTATAAATAACATTTATGGTTATTTATTTAAAAGGCGTAGAAATAATAAGTGACTTATTTTATCAATAATATTCTAATTATTTTATTAAAAGATGTTACACCCATATTTTATGTTGGTAAATAATTTAACAACACATTTAGCCATGACAACAATTTGTAATAAATGCAATGGTCCATCGTCTATAAACAACATTTGAAAGTTTATGAACTAGAAAGCAGTAACTTAAATAAGTGGATTAAGAATTATAATATTTTATAATAAATTTCAACTTGTGACATGTTACATTTCAAAAAATAAAAACACATTTTGAATTTTGTATTAAATAAAAATGCATCAATTAATTCAAATAATTCAGTTTAATGTAATTAATTGTAATATAAATTTTGTAAATGTTATTAAATTGTTTGTTAAAGTGTTTAGTTTATGTGTGTTATCCTATGGGGCCATAGAATTAACAACAAATTACTTCAATTATCCCAATGTCTATAGCGTTAACGTAAAGCCGAGCAATGAATTGCTTTTACCAGAGATTACTATCTGTACGGAAAGG